AGACTATGGATTGATGCCCTGCGAGTTGGTGCTTCTGGTTCCTTCCAGTGCCTCGAATCCACTGGCTAAACTGGCAGAAAACTAATTCAAGGATCCAGACTGGCTCATGGAGGGAACAGACAGAGCCAGAGGCAGGAGAGGGTGAATGGGTGAGACCACATGGCCAGATTAATCCTGGAAAAGCAAGAGCTTGGCTTCTGATGTCAGTTATGACATCAGTGCAGTTTTATACTTTTAAATTAGTATAGATGTGTCTAGACACTTTCTGGCCCAGTTATCCCGTAATCATGTCTCATTATTTAATGCACGGCCTGATCCTTCAAGATTGAAACCCCATGATGTAGACAGGTCCCTGCACCTCCATCTTGCAAGGTGCAGGGCAAAGGTTTAGGCTGTAAGTAGCAGGAATCAAGCCCTATATCAGTGAGGTACTACTTACATGGCTGTTATTAAATAAAATCTACAAAGAGCTTCTTTGCTTCCAGTATATTGCCTGCTTGGAGGCAGCTTCTTTGCTTCTAGTATCTTGCCTGCTTGGAGGCAGCTTCTTTGCTTCCAGTATCTTGCCTGCTTGGAGGTTTTCAGTCTTTTGATCAGAGGTCAAATGCATGTTCTTTTTGATGATATGAAGACAATTTTTTTTAGTGATTTTTAGTGCAACTCTCAATGCTGCCTTATTGCCCCCCAAAATTGCCTTACTTTTATACGACAGGCGTGTGACGTGCGCGCGGAAGCCCCGCTCAGCCCGCAGCCTCCACAGAGCAGCCTAGCTCTCTCCTCCTCGCCGCCGCTTCCCGGCTCCTGCTGCTCCCAGTCCCACCGCGGAGGGCTGAGCCCGGCTGTCTCGCAGAGCAGAGTGCAGGAAAGGAGCTCTGCAGAAAACCCAGCAGGGCAGATGCAGCCCGACGGGCAAGCGGGGCCGCCTCACTGCGAGCCGGGAGGCAGGAACGGGCCGGTGGCCGGAGAAGGGGAGCGCTCCCTGCAATGAGATTGGATAAAGCGCTCGTAAAAATGCAGGATCAGCCACTTTTTTGCTCCTCAGAAGTACCCACGTTATATTTTTCCCTTGCCTGAGCTTACATGTTAAAAATGCACTGGAGGTTTATGAGAAATTTCAGTAAAGTGAATCAGCAAAGATGCTTTGCAATATCTTTTTCCTAAAACAAATGTAACAAAAATGAATGATTATTTAAAAATATTTCTTTTTTATGGCATAGAATAAGAGTAAGATGGAGGATATTTTATACTTCATCAGCTACTTACTTAGAATTGTAAACAAAAGTGGTGGTTTTCTTTTGTTTTTTTTTTAGCTGCAAAGAGGGAACTGTGCAGTGATTAGCGTTAAGTGAAAGCAGTGTGAGAGAATGGGGTTTTTAGAAGCTGACAGTGACTTATCTTCACAGCTGGCACCTATTAATGCAGTGAATAATTTCTGGAAACCTGGATAGGCTCCAAAATTAACACTATCCATTAAGAAAGACCATGGAGTGCTATAATTGTGTCAGAATATTTTGGCTGCCAATAAACAAATCATTCTTAATGCTGTATTCACATCCATTAGCACAGGTTTCTAATCAGGAAAGCTGTAAATTTATATTTAATGCAACTTTGTCCAAGCCTACTTCAATACCATTGTGAAAAATAACAGCTTTCCTATCATTTACACATCAGCATTTTTGTGGGAATGAGCCAGTTTGACATTGCAATTTTGTTTTTCTAGTAATGTTCCCCTGTTAATATGTGCACAACCTCCTCAAACTGTTCAGAAACGACACAATTACTTCAGACTCAGCAATGGAGCAGCAAATTACAAATTGTCCTCTAGGTTGTTTTTGCACACCCACAGAAAACTTCCTCTCTGCAGTTGTTCTCAAAAGACTTGAGATTCCATCTGCTTCTTTTCTTTCCCAAGCAGAAAAAAAAAAAGGGAAAAAAAGAAGAAACCAAAGCCATATAAAACTGAGGACCGCATCCATTTAAATGTCTTGAAAACCCAGAGCAAAGGCTTTGATTTAAGTAGAGTCACTGGAGATTTACAGGGACAGACAAATGAGAATTCCAAGGCTTTGTCAAAGGCCGAGCTCGAATCACGTATAAACAACCTGGAAGCAGATTTAAACAAGAGAGAACTTGGTCCCCTTGTTTATTTCAATGTGAATACGTGATCCTGTCTTGAAATGACGTCTGTGAAGCAGTTTAGGCTGCAGTAAATCTGACTCTGTTAACTGTCAAGAGAAGGTTCCTCAGCATGGACATCTGAAACATCCTAAGCGCCAGTGCTCCGTCGTAAAGCTGGAAGCCACACAAAAGTGAAAGAGATTCCTGCCCGGATTCTGAGGATTTAAGTGTTATAAGGGCAGCCTCCGAAAAAGGCTCTGGGAAGCCTACGGAGTGCTCTGATTTACCTCCTTTGCTGAAAGTGCCAAGGGGTGACCACAACTGGGAGCTATTGGGCACATGAAAGGCGGTGGCAGTAATGACTTCTGAAAGTCATACTTTTCATCTCTTCATGGGGACCTGAATGCAAGAGCTAGCAGAGGCTACTGGTTTCTGGAGTCATATAACTGCACATTCAAGCAGAACTTTTTTCCCCCAATAAACTAGTGCAGTTACCCCAAGGCAACTGAAAACTGTGGCATGTAACTAATGTTTCCAAATTCTCTCTCTGCCCGTCTCCATCTCAGACAGTGAACGAGTGCTCACTTTAGCCTATATGAACTATTTCATGGGCAACAACTTTTCTTGTTTTAAAAATACCAGATTTGTAGAGACGAAACAGTTATTGCATAATTACCCTATGTACAATATTCAGTTGCTTCTTAAAATAAACCTATCAGCTAATAAATTTAATAACTTAGTATTCGATTGTTCTTCCAAGAAAAAAAACGCTGACTTACTTTACATACAACATGTTTCACTTTTGGAAAGCTCTTGGAATCAGAATGTTACCCTTATTCCTTGCCAATTAAAAATGAAATAAAATAGTAGATAATAAAAGGAAAAAAAATCACCTGGACCACCTTGTGGAATTGACTGTCTCTTTCTTTTAACTCCCTGGTTTTCCAGCTGCCCAGGTACAGCTGCAGCACACACATTATCACTGCTGTTCCTGCTGCTCCTTTTCTTTTTATATAGGAAACATTCCCTTTACAATACTTCCTATCTTTGATAGCACTAGAAACAGACGTTTCAAGGTTGCTTCTGAACTTGAGGTTTTTGTGTGGCAACACCAGTCATTCATCAGCACATCTGAGACACTGTGATTGGGCTGGCCAGAAATAATTCTTCCAAGCTCTTTGCTGAGGACTTGGAATGGAAGCGGCTCCACGCTGAGAGACATCATCCTGACTATGCCAGGCCTGCCAATCTTTTCTGAACACCAGAAAAAAAGCTTATATAATCTGTAATATTGTCTTTGTGTATTGTCATATAAAAATATGACTTTTATTGTCACATTTCTAGACCTTGAATGTACTATAAGGAACAGAGAGTACTGGAGTGTTTGTGGTACGTGTCCTCTTATGGCTGAGTGAATTGTTCCATACGTAAAACTCGGAGGCTTTTTGTACACCGAGCATTCAAGATCCTTTCTTATGGATTTGCAAATGCATCACCTGTGCCTTGGGTACAGCACTTTTTATAACAACTTACAGACAGAACATTTTTAATCCATTTTAATTTTAAACAAAAATATTAGCTACTTCAGAAATTCACCATTTGCCATTTTTTATCCCACGTATCTGTGCAATAATACAAATGCAAGGGTGAAACTTTATTCATAGAGTTAAATGCCTAAAATCTCACATGTAGGCTACATAGAGGAAATACACATTGGCAGTACGGTATTAGTGGCTTATAGAAATTACTATACGTGATAAGCAGATCTATAACTCAGTATATGACACTGGCAATAACAAAAGTAAGTGTCACCTTTCCTCACTAGCCTGTTTCCATGATTCAACTTAATTGGGCAAAATCAGCCAGGGACAGTGGCCTCATCTGTTAACTGCTCTCCCTGAGCACACACACAATTATCTCCTGCTCCTCAGCGTTGCTCTTCTTTAGAAGATCTGCGCCTGACAAGTAGAGCATTTCATGTCCAGTTTTATAAGGAGTCTTTGGGCTGGGGTTAACTGCAAAGAAGCTGGCCTAACTTACTGCTATATTTTGTTTGCTTTGCATTGTCATGTAGCAGCAAAAAGAAGCTAGTATATGAATCTATCTTAAAACTGCAAATACTTTTTTCAGTTCACCATATATGTCTTTTATTTATGCCAGACTTTGTGCTACCTTTTCTGTTTCTTATTGTTGTATTTCTTCCTGGGTTTTTTTTGTTCAATATTAGTAGGTAAAGTTCTTTTAAAGAAAATCTCAAAGATCAACATTAAATTGGAGTTAATGTTTAGAATATATAGCATGATATATAATCACCCATTTATGTATCATTAATTTAACTTAAAGTCTCCCAGAGAAAATATAATCTACACTTAGTAATGGCTACTTACATCAGAATCCAGATCCCTTTTTTTTTTCCCTCACAGATTTCATTATATCTGCAACTGATTAATTGAATCCCTCAACTGAATCTTCGCTGGACAATACTGAAGAGACTAAAGAGTAAACACATATTCTTGAACTGAAGTGAACTATTTATTTTACTTCTCAGAGGTAGTCAAAAAAACTTTACTACTCAAATCTAAGGCATCTTTACATTATAAATGGAATATTCTGTTTTATTTTTATATTATCTTGTACTTTGATCTATCAGAATATTTCTCAACAGACACAAATCTGGAATATCTAAGCAGAGAGAAAAACTCTTAGAAAGCATTAGTCTTTTTTCATCTCTAGTGCTGATGAAGGTGGGCAGTTTGCTGTCAATCACAAGCTGTTTAGTTTACAAAACCTTATATTCAGACCAGCAATTAGTCATGCATATCAACATAATCTGATGATTGAAGTCTTCTGTATGTCCATGCCTCATTCCAGGCAAGCCAACGAAGAATTCCTGATGGTTGGTCCGTTACCAGCGTGATAGATTGAACTTCAATGGTATTGTGTTCCTTTTAGAAGCTGTATCACCCTTCGATTGCTACAATGTCTAAAATGAAAATTGGAAGGATAATACTTGCTGTGGTGCCCAACCAATTCTATGGCTTCAAAGATTATAGATTAAGTAGATTTTCTTTGAAAGATTCATCTATCAATAATCCCAATGTTAATTAAAATAATACCCTTCTGCCTTATAATGTGTTTTATTCAAGGACTAGACTGCCAGACTTTTTCCTCAGAGATAAGACATGAACATGAAGAATTCAAAATTCCAAGGTCTTTTAAAATATTTTCTTGTCAGTGCTGTTTTGAACACTTGTTTTTTTTAGCATTTCACATTTGCCCTGCCTTGGAAGAATATTATGACATTTTTTATTCTTTTATCTACACCCTATACTCTTTTAGTCTAATCCAAAGAGCTCTATATACTTGAGTGTTCTGATCTGTCAGAAGGATCTCTTATCCTGGCAAAAGTCCATCTGGTATCATTTAAACTTAAGCAGCAGAAACTCCTGTGATTTTGAACCCATTCACTCAATTCTCATCACACAAACCCAAGTTTGTTCCCCACCACAAATGCATGACCTTTCTGTGACATGATTTAAAATTAAGGGATAGTTAGCTTTTGGACATGCCATCAAATTATAAACCGTAATCTATCTTAAAACTACGACTTGAGTAAACCTCCATTTGGCAGACCAGAGAGATTATGATTCATGCTTTAATTTTATCTGTCAGGTGCTATTGCAAGCTATCCTGGCTAGCATCCCAGGCAAATTCTTAAGAAGACAGACCATAGCTCTTGGAATATGTACACTTTTAAACTTTTAAGCTCTACCGCCTCTCTTGAATTTGACCTCCTGAGGTTGCCAAATGAACACAGAGTCAATCAATCACTCCCTGCCACTGTCTTGTTGAGGTGCTTTTGTCATATGTCTGCTATATCATTTGTTATCTCCTTCTTCTGGTTACACAGGGACAGACACTCATCTGGAATTAATTGTACAGGTCAAACAGCTTGCATAAAGCTATGCTGTTTAACCCAGGCTGAGTCTAGCTCATTTTAGCACACATTAATGACAGCGTCATGGCTAAAGAGTTTCTGCTGTGTTTCTCCCTTCTTAACTGTGAAATAACTTTTTCCTCAACAAATAAATCCAAATATAGGATTTATAGGATGATCTACAGATGTAACCACTGCTTTTATTTGAAATCTTCTTAAAAGTGTAGCTAACAAATGTTCTGTTTTTCCTATATAAGCCTATATAAGCTAGAAACTCACATTATTTTCTACTTTATCTGCTTAAATATTTCTCCAAGGATGAGGGAAACGGTAAGAAGCCTTTACTCTGTGTTCTTACTAGTACCATAAAAGAGGCAGCTAACACTTCATTCTTAGCTATATTTATCAATATTTGTATGAAAATGGTAGTAACAAAAACAGATTTGCTGAGGACAGTTTTGGATATAAAAGTTGCCTATAATGTTACAGAATTCGCAATTAATTAAAAATAGACACTTCTAGCCAGTCTTTACATAAATTTAATCCTTGGGAAAACACACTTCTTCTCTAAACCATCTAATTTAATAGCGTAAACATGGGATTTTATTCTTCTGAGAGAGTTATCTTAAGGCACTACATGCCCTTACGTATTTTGCAAGTGATAACTGCCATACTCAGGCCGAGGTCTGTGTGCATGTTTGAAGGCCTAAGCCACATGCTGGCACGATGCAAAGCTGTCTTAAAGCTTGTGCTTGCGCTGCATCGACCCCAGCGTTTCTTTGGAGACGTCTCTCCAACGCTGCCGCGGCGCGTGCTGAGGGTTGGTTACATTTAGGTAATGGCCACAGATGATGGCAACTCCACCTCAGGAGGAAAACTTGCCATTTTTTGCATTCCGTTTTGGGTGACCGTGTTCTCTCTTCCTTTCTAGCAGCAGACAGGAGCGGTTTGGCCGGAGAGCCTTGCACCCGTGCCGTGCTCCGATGACTCCCAGGACATCCGCAGGCGCAGCGGTGCGATGGAGGCTGCGCAGGGCAGCGCTCTCTTTAGCAAGAAGCCTGACCTGAGCGTTCAGCTCCAGAGGATGGTGATCTGCAGAGATCTCCCTGATGATCGCTGTATGTTTCTCTGTTTTTTTTTTTTAAGGTTAAAATTGTCTTTAAAATGGGAGCACTGTGGGATGAGCCGGTCTTTCTTCTTGATTTCTGAAGGATTTGAAGAGTCTTCTACTGGAGCAATTACCTATCAGGAGGAATCAGCGCGGATCCGTTAGGATTGACAGGCTCCTCCGGGAGGTTTCTCCAGCTCCCAACCCACCTGTCTGTGCAGGGGCCGCTGTGCTCCGGGCCTGCAGGCCAAGCCTGGGGGTACGCGCACCGTTAATTAAAGGACTTTGTTATTCCTCCTCTTTCACATTTATATATTTGTTTGGAAGAGAACCACTGCAAAGAGCTTCTACTAAATATTATGTTTTCACACAGGCCAGCCTGCAACAAGGCAAGCCTAACCAAAAGGATGAAGGGGGAGAAAGTGGATAGTAAGATGCAGTGCATTTATATATATATATAGTGGTTATAATGATGCTGGCATTGGAATAACCTTAGCGCAAGGAATCATCTTCTCCTCAGGAGGGAGGTTTCCTCACCTCACCTTGATTCTTAACCCACAAAGCATCATGTTCTCTGGAGCTAATCCCTGTGCTATTTGCGGGGTTGTTTTTTGTTGTTTAGATGCTATATTTTATATGCATGTAATTAAATTGGGAGGAATAGGAGAAACGGGGGGAAATGCAAAGTGGTTCTGACTGCACAGAGTATACTAGCATGAATTATGTCATGAAAGATATATTCTTTTGCAAACCTGAGCCAAAGCCAGTGACTCCAAGCCAAAAAAAAAAAAAAAAAAAAAAAGGTCTCTTACGAGCACTCTAACATGCTGCACCTTTATTAAATCCATAACTTTCTCTTCCTCATCTAGAATAGTGTGTGAATTGGGAAATGGGAACTGGAGGGGATTCTCATGAAGTTCTCTTACCTCAGAATATTGTAATGAAAATGTAATGACCTGATGCATCTCCAATGCATCATTTGAGATAAACTGGAGATTGTTTGCAATATCTGTATATGTGCCCATGACTGTCCGTGTGTATGTATATAGACAGGTATAATGAAATGTGCTTTTCATTATACATAGACAAGGCATCCTTCTTAAAAAGTCATTGTCTTTGTACGTTTTTATCTGACAGAGGGCCTTGTCCATGCTCAGCATTTTATTTCATTAAAAAAAGAAATAGTGTATTTGGAGTATATCTTTGTTTTCCCTTCGTTTGTCAGCAGTAATGCATGTGAGTCCAATTCTGATCCTCAAGTAAATGTGGAGGAATTTATAAAAGAGAATTACAGTGAGAAAAGCTGAATGGCACTTAGATGCAAAGGCGGCTCATGGCACTTCCGAATGCAGTCGTTGCCGTAGGTGTTTGTGCATCTGATGGACATTACCTTGGGGTACTGAGCTGAAGCAAGAGCTTGCTTAGGGCTTAATGCTCATTTAAGCATTTACTTTTCAGTCTGATAGCCTTAAAAGATGCTGTGCAGTGTCAGGAAGCTGTGTGACTTTCAGCCACATCCCCTAATCAGACTCAGAACGCTTTAAATATTGCCGTAAAGTGTGAAATCTCCAGGCTGCTGTTCTTCCTTTGGCACAATTTCTGCTGGAAGCCGGCCACCTGCACAACACAAAAATAGGAAGCTCAACCTCCGGGCAGATTTTAACACTTTAAACAATTCCTGAAAGAGAGAGCATCAGTGAAGGTGAGAGGGAGAAGAGTGTAAAATGGCAGAACACAAGATGAAGCAGAGGTTAGGGCAGACAGAATGAGCAGCATGGATGAGCAGCTGGAAAGACAAATCTCAGGTGGAAAGAAAGGGCGGAAAAGAAAGGATGAAGGAACACATACAGAAGAGGAGAAGGAGAATGGAAAAGAAACAGGAAAATGGCAACTAGCAGAGGGGAAAAGAGGCAGGAGGGATGAAGGCGAAGGGTGAAATCAGGAGGCAGACCTGAGCAGAGAGCCTGGAGAGTGGGCCCTGCTTCGCTCGGCAGCCTGGGGGGAGCCCGGCTCGCTGATGAACGGAGGTGCTACCCCCATGGCCAGCCAGGCCCCCACGGCCACCAGGCCGGCGCCTGTGTCGGCGAGAAATGGAGGCCGAGGCCGAGGCTGCTCCTGCGCAAGGGAGGCCCTCCTGGCGGCTGCCCGTGCCCCGGGTGCCCCCGCGCAGCCGGCTCCAGCAGCCACGCAGAGATTTCACCTCAGATTCAAGCAGCTGATTCAGCTGCAGCTCCAAACATTGGGAGTCATCGCTGGGGCCTCAGCTCTCCCTGCTGAGGCCCCTGAGGGAGGATTCAAAGCGGGAGCCTTGCTCACCGCTTTGAGGTGCTCCCCTGAGGTGCTCCCCATTTCACCTTTTCCTAGAAAGGGACCTTTCTGCAGCCTCTATCTGCACCAGCCTCTCCAGCCCCCGTGTAGGCAGGTTGTGTGAATGCCTCCCCGCTGTTTGCAGCCACGGCCTGATTGCCTTTCACCTTGCAGTCATAGCCCCTAGATAGCAAACCTATCCTGCGAGGGGCTTGGTGGAAGAGTTAAGTGTCACTATCATCTATTGATAATTGTTGGAATGAATTAGCATCTTTATTCTAAAAGACTGTCATGTGCACCACCATACCTAGCAATCCCAGCAAAAGGAGCAGAAATAAAATGAGTGCCAATAATCTTTTATTCCTAAAGGTGATCCTTTACACCTCTGAGACGTTGAATGGAAAACACAAGGAAAGTTACTGTGATGGAGTTTTGTGATGAAGCAGAAGACTTGCAGAGACTTTAGAGATGACCATTTCTCATCTTTTAAGTGTACTACAAAATCTGCAAAGATAAAGACTAGATTTAAACTGGTATGGTAAAGGAGAAGAAGGCAGTGACATAAAATCATTATCTGGTAACTGCCGACTATGTGAAACTAGGTGGTTTTATAGTTTCGTTCCAAACAGTAGGGAACATGTATAAGAAAACTCATCACCCTGGTCAAACTCTTCTTGAGCTCCTGTGCTCATCTGCACAGAGCATAGGCTGCTGTGCTATACACAGCCCGAGAGCGCTCTGTGCACAACACTTTTGGCCTGTGTTTGGAGCCAAATTATAGAGTCAAAGGATGCTCTTCATTCTCCACTGTGTTCCTCCAGGTTTATGGCAGTTTATCCCTGCCGATTTCACAGCAATCCCAGTTTTGTGAAACCTGAAGAATGAGGTCGTGAACCAGGTCTTGGTTCCCCCAAACTGTTCTAACGTGTCTCGATGAGACCTCCACGTGCAAGCCAGTGCACCGTAGTGCAACACCATGCTTGAGGCTCCTGTGTGTTACGAGGTGCTTCCTGACACCTTGAACATCATAGCGCACAGAGGCTCCTAGAGAAGAGGCCAAGGGCTGAATCTCCATAGGGATTAAATCCCTCCCTTTCCCTAGAGGCGACCCCTCCAGGCCAGGAGTTCTCAGCCCTTTCAAAGCGGAATTCCCTTCTCCTGCCCCCAGCGAGTAGGAAGGGAAGCAAGGCCTGGCAGGAGCCAACCACGGCTTCTTGTGCCGCTTGCCCTCTGGGCTGAGACAGAGCCCCAGGCTGAGCAAACACCCTCAGCCAGCACTGAAATGTCACCAGTGTCACTGTCTATATTACAGGGTCTAAGGGAACTCTGCAATTACAAGAGCTATGTATCTTTAATGCCACTTTTTTTGCAGTGCAGTAGCACTTTGAAGGCCAGGCAGGATTCAGGCCTTGTTATCCCAAGCACACTAAAAAAAAGGGGAAAAAAAGAAAAAAAAATCACCAGGCAAATTCCCATGGATTCATTTAATTGTGTTGATTTTATTATATTGGTGCAACCCCAGCAAAACAGATGTACTGTGCTGGAATAAAGTGGCATCTGTACCAGTGCAATTTTATACTTACACAGTTTTCCATGATATAAAGAGGGATTAAAAGGTGGCTTATCTATATTGCAATAATAATAATGGTTTTTACAGAGACCGTTTTTATACTCAAGCAAGGCCAAAGTGTTTATATAACTGATGAAGATACTGATAGTGCAATAACTGACATAGGTTTTATGAGCTCAAAAATGGTTCATTTATTGACTAAATGGCAAGTCTTCATATGGCCTTGCACAGCAACAACCTGGTCTTGAACAACCTCATATGTAAATACTTTGCTTAGGAATAATAATAATTCCCCTTAGGAATTATTCACAAGGATTTTCACAGCAGAAGATGCTCAGAAATAGCCATTGTTCCCTTTCATATCCTCTTTAATAAGAATAAACTTTTAACTGAAAAGTCATGCATGCCAGAACATTTAGACCATAAGATACAGAAAAGCATCTTTTCCGTGATTTCTGTGAAGCATTATATTGCATTCAATATAATGATTGTTTCCTGATGCTAAAAAATAACAATTTTACAACAGGAGAATAAGAGCATATCCCAGCTAGAGAATGAATCCCTGATATACTGAGCAAGATGCAGATATATTGCCCATCCTTCCACCTTAAAGATGTGTTTGCTTTTGAAGGTTAGCTGAATTAAAATAGGGTGTAAATAACTCTTCTTGGACAACACTCCTTCTAGACAAAACAAAACGTAAAACTAAGGGAATTTAAGATGAAGGTTAAAGTTATTCCCTTTCCTTCCCTGATTTTTTTTTTTTTTAAGAGGGCTACTGTTAATTTCATCAATTGTGTCACATGAACTATCTAGGCAACACATAATTCACCATACAGACATTTAGCAGAAGACAAATAAGATGTGTGGGTTCCTCTGGGGATCACTAGACGTCATTGTGTCCGGTTGTGGAAGCCCCAGCTTTGGTGGTTTGCAGCAGGGCTCTATGAACACAGTCCTCCCTCTGAAATATGCCCCTGTGCTTCCCAGGGTAGTTCTTCCCAGGACATTTTGTGCTTCCCAGGGTAGTCTCCTAGTACTGGGCTACAACCAGGATTTGCTGGAGTTGAGTGTGTGGCTTCTTTGTGATCTCTTATGAGCAACTTCATGGAGTGATCACCCTCCCAGCCCTTCAATGCCACCTGCTCCTATGACAAACCACCCATCTTCTAATGGGAGACTTTGAGTTTCCACCAGTATTTATTGTTGTTCCTATTTGCAGACAGAAAAAGGTATGAGAAAAATGATGTTTCCTTACTCTTCACTATTATTCAAACATCAGATTCACCATTGCACAGGGCTGACATCATGGGCCATCTACTTCGTGTCTTAGATGTCCTGCAAAATCACCTTTAAGCTTCCCAAACAGGGATTTGTTGGGGTTTCAACAGGAAATCAGCCCAGTGATGCTGGGAACACATCGTGGTCTTTAAGCAGAGTGGTTTGGGTGATGTCCATTAAGCAGAAGGGTCTGCAATGCTACAATTGGAAAGATTACTCGGCTGTTATGGATAACATTTGTGGTTGGCAGTTGTGATTCTCCCTGCTGATTAGAAATGGTTCTCTCCAAGAATAGTTCCTGGGGGATTACAACTTATCCCAGTGTTTTGTAACCATTGGTGGAAGTTTTGGGTTTTTTTTTTTTTTTATATAATCTGTATGGGAAAAGTACACTGTCACAGAGGAAGGGTCAGGAGAAAGAGGTTATTTTGAAATAATTGCATTCTGGAAGTGGAGAAGGAGTATGTTTATTTATACACTGAAGAGAGAGCAGTACGTAAAAGGGCACAAGGAGACAGGTTTCTCCACTGCTTCCTGCCTAGGGATTTCAATGCAGGGCGAGATTCAACAAGGGCTGAGAGTCATCTCACATAATTCTAGAATTTCAAAGGGTCGGTGTCCAGTGCTGAATTATCCGCGCAAAGCTCTCCTCATAGTTAAGGGAGAGAAAAGGTCCCCAAAGGCAAGAAAATTGTCTGCTGGAATTAGCTCCTGTAGGCTCTTATTTCTCCCCATTGGGCTTCGGTCTGGCTGGCTAATTCCTGTAGATGTCTAATTTAATGAATCCCATTCCAGCTGCCTGCTTGGGCTCCCCAGATGTGCAGTCCCTACATCGTATCTGTAATTGATACCGGGCCCTAGGAGAAGTGTAAAAATAGAAGAACGAGTGGATGTAGCTGGGAAAGGCAAAGACAAGGGAAAGACAAGGGAAACAGAGTGAAGAAAACGTAAGGCAGGGAAAATGGGAATACTGGCAGCAGCATGTAAATGTGGAAGGAAATTAGGATAAATGGCCATCCACACGGTAGGAAATTCTATACAGGCTTCAAATTGCTGCTGCACACGGCTGCTATAGAGAGAGGTCAGGAAACCTGGCAGTATTGGAAGAAGAAAAAAGAAACTTCTACATAAATGCAAATGTTCCAACTAATCGGGCATTTCATTCGGCCTTCGTTGGTTCCCTAAGGAGATAATGTCAAGCACTTGACCTACATTTTCCTTTCCTCCATTATATCCCACTCGCTGAAACCCCTTTTGACAACTTTGGCCTCAGAAAGTCCCTCCATCAGCCACTTTCTCCATTTCCAACGGGCGCTATCCCCTCGGCGGAGCTCTCCACATGCCCCTTGGAGTGAGGCTCCCTTGGGGCACCGTTTGCTCTCCTTGGAATCCCCTCTTTCCTGGCAAAGGGCAGGACTGATGCTGCCATGCCCGTGCCGAGGGGCACCCACTGCCTGTCCGTGCCCTGCACCTGCCTCTGCCCGGGTGCTCCGGCCGGTGCCCTCATCCCTCTGCATGGCTCCCGGATCCCTCTGCATGGCTCCCGGATCCCTTTGCACATCTCCCGGATCCCTTTGCATGGCTCGCTGATCCCTTTGCACAGCTCCCTGATCCTTCTGCACCCTGATCCCTCTGCCCGGCTCCCTGGCCGGTTCCCTGATCCCTCTGCCCGGCTCCCCGGCCGGTTTCCTGATCCCTCTGCCCGGTTCCCTGATCTCTCTGCCCGGCTCCCTGGCAGGTTCCCTGATCCCTCTGCCCAGCTCCCCAGCCGTTCCCTGATCCCTCTGCCCAGCTCCCCAGCTGGTTCCCTGATGCCTCTGCCCGGCTCCCCAGCCGGATCCCTGATCCCTCTGCCCGGCTCCCGGGCCGGTTCCCTGATCCCTCTGTCCGGCTCTCTGTCCGGATCCCTGATCCCTCTGCCCGGCTCCCCGGCTGTTCCCTGATCCCTCTGCCCGGCTCCCCGGCCGGTTCCCCGATCCCTCTGTCCGTCTCTCCGGCTGGATCCCTGATCCCTCTGCCCGGCTCCCCGGCTGGTTCCCTGATCCCTCTGCCCGGCTCCCCAGCCGGATCCCTGATCCCTCTGCCCGGCTCCCCGGCCGGTTCCCTGATCCCTCTGTCTGGCTCTCCGGCCGGATCCCTGATCCCTCTGCCCGGCTCCCCGGCTGTTCCCTGATCCCTCTGTCCGGCTCTCTGGCCGGATCCCTGATCCCTCTGCCCAGCTCCCTGGCCGTTGACGCCCGGGCGCCGGGATCACGCAGCCGCGTGCGGTTTGGCCCGAGCTGGCACCGCCACGGGCCGGTTCGGTACCCGCTCCCGAGGCCTGCCCACTGCGGCTCCCCTCAGGAAGAGCCAGCCCGTCTCCTTTCCCCCCTCAGGGCGCAGCAGGGCGCACACACAGTCCCCGCGAGGCCGAGCGGGGCACAGCCCGGCGCCGCGCAAGCCCCGCTTGCAGGCGAAGCGCGGCGGCCGGAGCGGCGCCACCCAGCGCAGGCCGCGCCGCTTCCCGGGCAGCGCCCGGGGCCTGGGGGGAGCGGCGGGAACGGGAGGCGCCAACGGCGGGGC